TAGTAGAACGGAAAAATCATGGAGGTGCATATGTGTTGAAAGAACCTGATGGGTCAATATCACGACAAGAAACCGTTGCAGCTTTTCGACTCTTACCATACATTACACAAGACCATTGGTTTATGCATACAGGATGGATGGGAGACGACCCAGAAAGTCAAGAGTCTGAAGGAGATTCCCTCAGTGAAGGAAGCGATAGATAAAAATAACAGTCACAAGGCTATAGAAAAATGGAAGGGTTTGTCTTGGAAGCCGAAATAAAGTTATTGATTGGAAATTGAATGGAGAAAAATGTATAAAACCGCAGTGTTGGCCTGGCAGGTACCCCAAAACACTCTACCAGACGCCACTATGCACCCACTAAACGAACGCACTTCCAGCAGCATGAAAGATGCAGATTTGGATACCAATCAACAATCGAAGTCAAAGAACACGGCGACCAGCAACGTGAGCAATTACATGATCAATCTCTTTCATTAAACAACCTACTCGCCACACTTCCCCTCTTTTCATTATCTTTCATTTTCTTTTCTCTTTCATCCAACGATCTTACGACTCATAACGATAATAGTCCTCTCCGCCTCTTATCAATCACTCTCGCAAGGCGCCCATCCACGATTCCCTTTCCGCAGTCAGAGCCTCTCTGCCAGTGCCTTCCCCTGCACAGAAACCTGATACATACAACGATTCGCCCCTCGAGGCCGACCACAAGGATGGATATAACCCAGTGCTGGCCTGTCGTTATGCCATACCCTGTGAACCGACACCGGGTCTTGTAAACCTCTTGCGCCCCTCCTCCGAATTCTGTCCGGTAACCTTGCCGGGATATGAGACAGACTTGGGGAATTATCAGGAGGGGAACTTGAGTGATGGAGCCACCAGCACTGCAGCACACACCATTCGAGTAACCACGGACACAGAGCGCAACGAGAACGAACTGCAATACACCTATCGTCATCCAACCGAAGAACACTACATGCAGAGTCAGTCAGGAAGGATTTGGATGGACGCTTTACCCACCTTTCTTGAGGCTCGCCGCCACCAGCCCGCGTTCTCGAGCTACAAAAATGCCTATCTCCACTCCGAGAATGTAATTATTCAGGTCGACAAACGAGGGGTAGAAAGAGTGTTCGAAGTATTCTGTTCCCCGCGGAACTTGCTGGCGGAAGGAATGACCTTGGAATGTCATGGATGCCTTATAGGGGGATGGGTTATCAAGGAAATCACAGGGCAAGACGATCAGTATGTCTACATGCGTTGCGTTAACGACACGTTTCGCGAGATCACCGAGATCCGCATGGTTCATCGTTACCAATACCGAGCCAGTTGGGCAGACAAAATTCGACATCTGACCCACCGCATGGCCCCATGTTTCTTTGTGGAGTGGGATTAGAACACGATTTTTCGCTTCAGACTACCTACTCACCAACCTTACCTTCTCTTTTACCTATGCCCCATGCAGTAAACTTACGACTGGTGCTTCAGAAATGTACAAAAATATGTGATAACCAGAACCGATGATATTCTTTTCCCCTTGAAAGCACTAACAATAACTCTGACTTGCTCTACCGGCCCGCCTATATATATATATAAATATCAAAAGCCCCCCCCATAGGTATTGATACCATTTACAACTGAGGCCAGTTGATCTTTTCTGTTCACTGTGGATGTCAGGCATTAAATCTGGTAGGTATCAAACTCAATGTGGGGGTCCACCCAGTATGTAATTAGAATCTCAGAATACAGAGTCATTAGGAGTCAGCAGGGATATTTTAGGAATGACTCAATTTGAATCAACAAGAGTTCAAAAGAGTCAGGGGATAAATGAGTCATGGGGAAAGAAAAGTGTATAAAAGGAGCAGCTGGGAACCTATTACTTACTTACTTCCTGTACACCCATACTGAAATAAGCACGCGTTTCAATCTAAAAATAGTCTTGATCCGATTACTTGAGGCCCTCAGCCTGTTAAGACATCTAACACCGTTGCTTAGACCACTGAACCCACCGAACGCACTTGCTTTGTTGAACTAATACTGCCAAAACTTAATTGGCAGAACTCTAAACCCAGGGTTTTGCATATTTAGATTTTCCCTACTAAATCAGAAATACATTAGTTTCCTGAAAAAGGGAACCTGCATTTCCCCAAATTGTTTGACGTGAGAAATGTTCAAATAAAGACGAAATCCACCAACCTCACGGGTATAAACTTATCCGCTTGACAACGCGGTGGGTCACGGCACGTGGTGTGACATCAGGCCAATCGATTGGGGGCATATAAAGCCTTCCTCTTCGCTTCCCATCCTCCTTCACTCCCCTTCGTGGGGCCCACTCTCCTTCGTCTATTCTAGCTAATACCGTAACACTATAATGACTTCCAAACTCTTCAGACAGCCTCAGATGACGATGGAGGAGCGCATTGCTCATCGCGCCGCCAACAACCCTGCCATACAAAAGGCTATCGCCGAGCCCCCGACTGGTTTATTTTACAAAACGATTAAGCCACCCACGATTTCCGCTCACAACCATATAAAGGCTATTTGGCGGAGATTCGCAGAGAAGCATGAAACAAAAATACTGCCTCTAGAAACTGTGCCTGGCATCGCACATTTACACCAAGGTGAGCTCTCTCTCTCCATCATTTGACGACGCTTATTTCTGACCCTCGATTGTTAGACGACTACTACGAATTTATCCAATACCTTGGGTTCGGAGTCGGGGCAATGCTCAACGAGTTCCCCACGAAAAAAACCATCAAGAAATATCTTTTAAACTTCTTCCACCTCTGGCGCCGTTATGCATTCAACCCCATCCCTATCGATCTACGCACAAAAGCTCACGCTTTTCTCGAGTCTCAAGAGTTTGCAAACATCGCTCCCCTTAGCAAGCAGATACGCACCAAACCGATTGCGAGCCGGATTGACGTCAAGGTGATCGTCCGCAGCGCTTACAAAGCTATCGAAATCTTTCGCACGAACAGAATGAAAATTCAATTCAATGCCATAACACTCATTTCAGCAATATCGAGCGAACGGCCCGGCGCTATCATGGAGTCAGACTGTTACACGCATACAAACCAAGCATTGACGTGGGGAGACGTCGCCTTCATGTTTTTTCCAAATCCCGAAGCCCCTCTTCATCCCCTCTGTGGTGCAATGGTGGTGATCCAATACACCAAAGGCCAGTGCAGGGATCCTAGCAAAATCCGTCACTGGTTCATCTGGCTAGAGCCTTTCGAGAATCGCGCCAACTGTCCCCTCACCCTTCTCATCAGTCTTGCACAGGAGGATGGGATCTTCCAGGACAGTGCTCGATTTGAAGAGTTCTTGTCGCCCAAAGTCGCGCCTACCTGCCCTCACAAATTGCGAATCAGAGAGGAGAGCAAGCGGCAGCCAGTTTTCTGCGCAGAGGTTCTTACCGAGCAGGGGTGGGAAATTTCGGAGATGGCCGCTTTAGCCGCTTGGACCCACTGTGCCTTCCTTGCTTTACTTTGCTTTGCACTTGGATTCACTGGTAACGTGGTGCTAAAGAACCATATAATCAAACTTGGCTCATGTTTGGTTCTCACAGGCCCACTTGCTCTGTATGCTTTCCGACGTCTCGCTGGCCGAAACTTCAAAAGATGCGACGGAGTCACCGACGATGAAAGAACACTACAGATGGGACAGGTAGCTGGTTCCAAGACATTTCAGGCACGTTGGAATGCGCATATATTCTAAAAACTAACACAATGCGCGTCTAGAGATCCTATGAAAGCACGACTGGACGACATGATCTAGGAGCCATATTCAATGGACAGGATGCTTCAACCGCTGCAGTCGAGGCTATGGACGTGAGTCTTCAGCGCTTCGTGGTCCTTCAACACCAACAACAAGAAAAAAACAGAGAGCGTCCAGTGCTGGCTGGAATCGTGATCCCAACGCACCTTGTCGCCTTACCATCGAACAGCGAGCCAAGATCAGGAGTATCCCGGAGCATGTCGCGTTTGTGCAAGAAAGGGAAAAGGTGGTGGTCTTTGATCGTCTCCAAGTTGCTTTGTATACTCAGTGTTATCCCTTCTTCCAGTACCGCGCTGAAGCCGACCGCAAAACCCAACTCCTCCATCTCGCCAGCACCCCCAAGGCTCTTGACGCGGCCAAGGCTGTTATTTCCTTCCTACGCAAGGCTGGCACAGAGGCCCAAAGAGCGCTTGTCAACAGTGTTGATACTACGTGAGGTGCATCGGGAGTATTTTGAGGGTGCTTCGGCACGTGAACTTGGCCTTGTGGTACTTTTTTTTTTTTTTGTGTGTTTTTCTCTCAGTGTTGACCATGATCATCCAGGCAGCTGCCCCTGCATATCCCATCTCCAAGCCATGCACGGCCTTGACAGACAAGAACAATGTTGCCACACCAGCCTCCTCCTCCACCCTGCCCACAGCAGGCAAGGAGAACTGTGGCTCCCCCATCCGCCTCCACAGGCCACATTGTGGGCTCTCACTTCGCTCGACCCACCAACCAACAGGGATTTGGCCCATTATATGACACACCAATTACAGTACACCACCCAATCTCCTTTCCTCAGAAACCCACAGCAATGACCCCTATACACATTTCCCATGCTTTCCGGTATATCTGTTTCACTAAAAACTATCAAACTTTGATGAATACGATACCATACAACCTGGAAATCATTCATACCACCTCATTTCCACTCGTACAGCTCAATAATCCACCTGGGATCGTCTCGCCTTGCCCACAGAATGGCTACTTGACGGTATTTCCTCAATATTTGACCCAGATTATATTCCTGACTGTCAAAGCTCGACGAATACAATACCATATGACCTTTGGACCTACACTCGCTACTGACTAGTACTTATGAACCTGTATGCTGCAAACAAATGAAATATAATGCCACAACACAATATCTTGGCTGCCTGGCTCTTCACGGCTTTTCAACAACCTTCTCCTTGCTCCTACGAGTTATACCACTATACCCCCTTCAACTCAGGTCTATAAACACACTCATGGTGAAGCGGTTATCATGCTTGCCTTCCATTTGCGCTTACGTAAGCCGACGTAAGCAAGCGGCAGGGGTTCGACTCCCCTTGAGTGTATCTTTTTTGATTCTTTGGGCCGCCAGCGGCTTCCCAGCGCAGAAGAATAGCCTGCATTAGTTTCCAGCTAGCCACCTGTCTCCCACTACATAATGTAACTGCTACACCATCAGGGTAAGTAACCAACGGCTCAAAGCCTTCACCTTTTCTGTGCACCGGTTGCTTGTCCTCCAAATATCTTTTACTTAGTGCCACGCGTTCGACTCCCGTCAGGTTCATATTTCGCGTATTTTGTTGCCTCTAGTGGGTATGTGTATGAGCTGACATGCCTTCTTACTAGCAATCCAGCAGCGCGAAGTAACCGCTACACCGCAAGGGTTGGCAGTTCGACTCCCCTTAAAGTGTTTTTTTTTGCACATTTTTTGATTTCTTTTGCTCGGGCCCACTCCTTTGCGCACTTTCATTTCCATTGGCGAAACAACGAGACAGCAATACCATCAAAGATTCCAAATTTGCCTGTGCAAAGTAACCGCTACACCGCATGGGTCCTGTTAAATGTTTTTTTTTGCGCTTTTTTTTTTGCTGCTTTCGTCTCTCGTTTGGTTCATCTGTTGCGCATTTTGATTTTGATTGGAAGATGGCAATACCCACACCAGACGGGGGTTCAAACGTTCCGGGTTTATTATTGCCTGCGCAAAGTAACCGCTACACCGCAAGGGTTGGCAGTTCGACTCCCTTTAAATGTATTCTTTTGCGCACTTTTTGCGAAACTAAGTCTATGACCGTTCCTCCTATAATTGTGCCCATACTGCAGATTGTTTCAACTTGGCTTGTAACTCGGATTGCTCAATTTTGGTTGATCTTCAGTACTACGCGAGCCACCGAGATCTTCCACAGAATTCCAATGGCTTACTACATCGAATATGAACTTAATCGCTTTCGGAATCAGACTCGTCTCCATCTCCAACATTCATCTTGGTCAAGTTAACTGTCAGTCCCTCACTAAATCCAGGCCCACCACCAGACGCCTCTGCGTAGGCCTTCATTTGTTTCAACATGTCTGGGCTTAGCGTGGACGATGAGACAATTGTGGTCGTCCCGTCGGCATTGTTGATGGGCACTTCGATGGCCCCACCCTTCGTGGACGAGTGGCCCTTGTAGCTGCCTTCCGGCCGCTCGACGACACTGCAGGGTGCGTCTGGTTTGCAGAAGGGCTTGTGGTTTTTCCAGTCCTGTGAGTCACTGTGAGATAAGATTCTTAATTCATGGGAGGACCAACGCACGGCTCTCTCTGGAAACAGCTAGTCAGCGAACATCCCGAACATATAGAAGGTTTTCACGCACGACACTCTTTGCCACAGTAGCTCGGTTTCTTGTCCTGATCACACTTTCCAGAACCTGTAAGGTGTTCAGCGGGTTGGCAGTAGGTTTAGTTCTCTCGTACATTGCCGTAACATGTGTCCAGAGTCTGATGATACTGGACACCCAACGTTAGCGCACATATACCGGTTAGGCTGTTGCATTCTCTTCAAGATCGCCTTGTTATCAGCTTGGGCCATTTCTTGCTCTCTCTGATCCTTAGCTTTCCAGACATGTTTATATTGCGCCCAAAGCTCGACGACTGTGGTTGCATGTCTCTCGAGAACGTGGCGTGCAAAGAAGAGGACGTTGGGACTCGATATATCAGAGGCTAGGCGGACGGCTTCATCGGCGCTGTGGGCAGCGGCATGAATGTAGCGGATAGGGGCGCTTTCACTGGAGAAAGCTCTGGTGTACCTAAGTTTCGTTAATAGATTGTCTATCGACAAACTAATATTACGAACCAATCGATTAACAAGCTGTGTGCAATACTCTTCATGATATTGTCGGCCTTCTTGTTCAGTATCACTTTGATTAAATACTGTCGACACAACGAACGGCTGGGGTTGCACTGGATTCCGTATTGGAGTCTGTAAGGCCTATAAGAATCCTGAAAATGTGCAGCTTATCGCGAACCTGATAGAATACTCCAGAGCAGCCTGTGGATCTCCAGCATCAGCCTCAGAAAGAACAGTCACTGAATTGCGCTGCCCGAGCATCGCGTTCATAACTTGCACCTCCTTGATGAAATCGCCCGTTTCCGGGGTCTTGGCTGTCGGGCGAGCACTGGCGAGCCTCTGAACATAGGCGAGGGCAGCCTCACTCGTCTACTTTCTTTTCCACCCAGGGCGCCAGCGTCCAATAACTGGAAGTGAATGCGATGGCGCTTGGAGTGGTAAAGGCGGCGTGCGCCAGACCCTGCATACCCATGGAAGCCTTCATCGAATTGAAACAATTGGAGAATGCGTCTTGTGCTTGCTTCGTGATTTCTCCCGCCGTAAACTTGACGCTCCACAACTCGGGAGCCTTGACCCCTAAAGTTTTCAAGGCCTCTCCCACCTCTTTGGCTATGTCTTTTTGGTCCGTGGTAAACGACCAGGGCGCGTACGGGGGCGGGGCCTTCATTTCAAACTTCCCCGCACCCATAGTAGTCACAAATGCATGGATCAACGCCTTGGCAATTTCGGTGGCCGCCTCCTTAGCAGTGTCCGGGAAAAATGCGAAGCCTATGTTCTGAGGTTTTCCTATGGGCACCAACTCCGTGTGGATGAAACCGCTTTCTGGCTGGAGGAGAAAGACCATGTGGCTCGGCGGTTGAAATTGCACATATCGAATATCAAAGTGCCAGACGTTTGGGACCCTTCCACTCGGGGCGAGAGGGTTCCTGGGCAGCTTGTTGAACTTGTCAACCGACATAGTGGCCGCTAGGAGCTGAATCCCCCTGCTTACTAATTGATTTGTTTACTTTTCAAGTTCAAGTTCAACGTCCCATCGTCTTGCCTATATTCTTCCCACAATGTAGCCAAGCTGCACACTGGCTATAAGCAATCCAACCACTTGTTGCGTTACAGTTGTGAGCAGAAAACTGTGTCTGTTCAAGTTGCCTGCAAGTTTCTCCCTGGCTTGAGCAGCGCCGAACTTCTCGCGAGGCTAGTCTCCCCGAGGCAGAGTAGATACTCACCCGAACCTTCGTGCCTCAGGATATTCCTATCTGACGTCTGCTTTTTCCCGGGCCTGTCTTAACGGTTGGTCATTTTCAAACTCCGCTTTCATCACGTGTGGTTGACATGTGTCCCATTAACGCGTCAATTCGACGCGTTGGCACACCGTATTCGCGCGTCAAATGAGCAAGAGAAGACGATATACAACATATTTAGTGGCTATAGTGCATCTGGGATCAATTGGGATTTTTACAGGTCAATTTGAAGCGGTACTCAGAAAAATCAAAGTAATCAATAAAATAATTGTCCTAAGAGCCTCAAGACGGTCTAGCAGGAAGGATCCACCATAAATACGATAGTTATTCACCGGAAACGTTCGTAGAGATATTATTTGCTGTTTGGTGCACGTACTACCTGCTTTGAGCTATTTGGAGAACAGAGTACGCCCCAGAGACCCATTAGAAAACATAGGACCCAAATTTTGGAGTCTAAAGCCATCAGGACTTGTTTGTTGTAAATTATGGGTGCATATATTAGCCCGTAGTCCGACTACTGAGTGGAAGCAGGCCAAATCGTTCTGAAAACAAGATTGGGCAATTTCGGGCCTTTAAGGAGGTTTCGGAGGACAGGGTTTTGGCCCACATGTTGATACATGTTGTATACGTGCTCATGCAAGAGATTGAGGCCCTCACAAACGTATTCATAGAGAGCCCGAGGAAACATCTTTGAGCAAATTTAAAACCCCGCTAAGAGGGGAAATCGAGCGGAGTTTGAAAACAACCAACCGTTAAGGGTCACGCGTCAAAAAGCAGACGTCAGATAGAGATCTTGAGGTACGAAAGTTGAAACTGTCTACTCTGCCTCAGGGAGACTACGCGAGGCTGGAAATCGGGAACCGCACACCAAACTCGAGTCGCTACGTACCTTCACGCTAAAAGCTCCAGTTCAACTTCAATTGCAAAATGCGGAGTCGTTGTACCTCCAAATGCAAAGCCACAAGCCTGGAGCCATTTGGTTCGGGGACAGTATTTTTGACAGACTGGAGCAGAACTTGCGTCTATTCTGCTTATTATTACTGCGGTAAAATGTACTTAACTTCGGTATATTGCAGTGCCAGTGTGGTTTGACTATTAACGCTACTCTAGCTCGGTCCGAACCAAGTCCGAATGTGTTCTGAGATCCATTACTCTCTGCTTTGTCTTTCCTTTGTCTACTCGTGTTCGGCAGTTGCCTCTTCGCCGTGGGACCCAACTTAAAATGCGCGGGCTTCGTGGCAAAGAGTCGGTCGTCTCCTCAGATACATGCATCTACCTTTCAGCTTGTCTTATATCATCTTCACTCCACGGCATGTACGCCTCCCAGGCGAAGCCCATCAACTCGCACCCATCAGGGAAAAGTCGAGCTCGTAAGAAGACCTTTTTGTCAGAAAATCGACAAATACTTAACACTGCGAATAATAGGAGCCCGCCTGGCTGGTCTTCTCGTGTCGCAGCTAAAATCTCTTCGGTCTTTTAGGTCGTTGCGGAGGCTGCGCGGCGTGGATTCATTACCACCTGAGACTTTAGAGCATGATATCCAACGCTAGCCCCTTCCAAGGTAGGCGCCACTCGGCTAGTTGAAGCATTTTACTGACAGTAGACAAAAGCTCAAGTCTGTGCCAAACAGTAACATAACGATCAGGGAACAATATTAAGTTGTCGAGCCCGGGAAAGAGAAACCCGTTCAAAAGCAAGGTATTACATACGATACAAGCTGGATGGAAAGCGGAGCAAATGCATGAGAAGTTAAATATGCAAGGAGAATTGTACGATGTGATGATGAGGGTGATAAAAAGAAAGGGTTGCACATAACTGCTCAACCAGGAGACTCAAACTCACCAGTCTCGCTGACCCCGCCGTTGAACATGGCCTTCAATGTCATGTCACTTCGTTTCTGCCTCACGCGCTCAGCTTCCTCCGCCCCCCCAGTCATCTTGAGCTTCTTCCCGGCCACAAAATCGGTCAACTCCGCGTGCATCTCGTCAGACCGACTCGCGAGTTC